AATTATTTTGTGTTTTTAAAATATTATTAAATATTTCCGGACCCAACAGTATAATAGGTAAATGATCAACCCAATGAACAGTATTTTTGCACAAAATGGCTGCTTTTAGCGTTCGGTGCGAACGTTCTGTAAGGTCATTGGCCTGTGGATGATATGAGGTCGTCTTGAGATGATCGATGCCTAGAACTCGGGTTCGCTCAGTAAAAATGTTGCTCAAAAATTGGCCTCCTCTGTCTGAAGTAATGTATGTGGGCACTCCGAAACGCGTGATCCAGTGAAACACTAGTGCATCAACAATTGACGTAGTGTCATGTCCGGAATCGGGATGGCTTCAGGCCATCGCGTGAACCGGTCAATGATGGCAAGACAGTACCTCTGTCCTTTACAAGACGTGAAAGGGACAACAATATCGATGTTTATGTGGGTGAAACGTTTATCCGGGAACGCGTATGACTGCAATGGCGAACGCGTGTGCCGGTTGATTTTTCCACTTTGACACTCAATAGCTCTGGTGAATGTGATGCAATCTCTCTGCATGAATGGCCACACGAATCGTTCTGCTACTTGTTTGTCAGTCGAGTGCGTGCCATGATGTGCAAGGTTATGTATAGATAACATCACTTATTTTCGAAAAGTTAGTAATAGTTTGTTGGTTCCCGGTACCGGAAACTGTTTGAGAGACAGTGAAATTTTACCTTAATAGTGGTTTTGCAGAACAGCCTGAGCTCTTCGTCGTTTGTTTGGTTGTCTGCTAAGGCGCTGAAATCTAGATACGGTGCAAGTTGAACTGATTCAATGCGTGAAAGATTAGCTGTGACAGTAGACGGACCCTCAACGTGTCTAATGTCGGTGGTAATTTGACCAATAGCGTCGAGTTGTCGAGCTTGGCGACGAGAAGCCTTCTCCAGCTTTTGCCGGAACGCGTACCTTAAGGGTTTCTGGTCGGTGTATATGTGGCTATTTCGACCCTCCAACATGTACCGAAAGTGTGGAACAGCCATGTAAATGGCAGTTAATTCGCGGTCATAAGTACTGTACCGGACCTGTGCTTTGTCCGTGAGAAATACCCCAGGGGTTGAATATCGCCATTGACAATCTGGTGTAAAACTGCACCGGCAGCGAAATCGGATGCATCCACCCATAACGATAACTCAGCCTTTTTTGTGGGTGTGCTGTGAATTCGCGTATCGATTGCTTTCGGAATAAACCGCCGATAAAAATTTATCATGGCCAAGAATCGCTTTAATTCCTTTACAGTATTTGGCAATTTGAAATTTTTAATGGCCGCTACCCGCTCCTTAATCGGCATAATTCCTTTTTCTGAAATTTCATGACCCAGAAAGACCAGTTTACTCTTTTCGAATTCTCATTTTGAAATATTGATCTTCAGGTTGTTTGCACGTAACCGTTCGAACAATAAGCGTAAGTGTTTTTGGTGTTCACTTAAATCGTTAGAGGCGACGCAGATGACATCGACATAGGCGAATACGAAGTCTAAACCCCGCACAGCCTGGTGAATTAGACGTTGAAATGTTTGCGCCGCGTTGCGCAGGCCAAACGTCATGAAAGGGAATTCATACAGTCCGAAAGGCGTTGTTATTGCAGTCTTCTGAATGTCCTCGGGATGAACGGGAACCTGGTGGAAGGCCTTTTGTAAATCAACCTTCGAAAAAACTTATTTGCCGCAAAGGATTGAAGTAAAATCCTGCAGAAACGGGAGCGGATATCTATCAGGAATAGTGATCGCGTTTAGTGCGCGATAGTCCCCGCAATGCCTCCATGTTCCGTTTGATTTTGGAACTATTGGCATCGGACTCGCCCAGTAGCTGGATTATGGTCGGCAAATACATAGTCGCAGCAATTCGTCGATTTCACGTTTGGCAGCTTGAAGCTTTTCAGACGACAGTCGCCTTGGGCGCGAAAATACAGGCTGGCCGGATGTTTCGATATGGTGGGTGATATAAAAATTCGGCGAAGTTGCCTGGTTGTTGTTGAGTAGTGAAGTCTATGTAGTCTTTCAAAACCTGGGGTAATGACAAAGAAGCGTTAAACGATTTAATTAGCATACCTGGTATGTTTGAGGGTTCGCAATTTGCTTGTAGATTCGTTGAATTATCTATAAGACGTTTGCGTTTAACGTCGATAATAGTCCGTAATGTTTCATAAAATCAGCACCTAAGATGCACGTGTTTATGTCGGCGATCAGAAATTTCCATTCGAAGCGGGGGTGTAGTCCAAGGTTGAGCTTGAGCATCGTTTCGCCGAATACTTTAATTTCTGTTGCATTAGCTGCGTACAGCCGCATGTTGGTTGTGTCGACTTTCGCGAATTTGAAGGCTTGTGGGAGCACAGAAACGTCCGCTCCTGTGTCGATTAAAAATTTAAAGTTGTTGCATGTGTCGACGATTTTGAGACGGTTAATTGAAGCTGTGTGATGACGTTCGCGTTTGTTAACAGCAGCTTTAACGGGTTGTATGTGTCATTACTTCTTAGGCATGTTCGAAAAACAGCAAGACTTGCGACAGCTTCGAGCATCGTTACCATATGTAAGATGATACCAGCAAATTTCTCTACCTGTGTTGGCACGCTGAGATTCTCGTGGAAGATTTCGTACACGGTTTCGTACTGCATCGCAGTTGGCGGTGTAATTATTCAGCTTTTGAGACAGTTGCTCTACTTCGAGCTGTAACGTTTCAAGTGCTGATTTGTTTTCGTTGCTGTTTTTTATCACTAGCTACCGTTCGTAAGTGCGAATCTGAATAACAAGTTTCACCGAGGTTTAGTGATTCCACGATGTCGTCCGCAATCTTGCCTTTTCTTATTATTTTATGCTCTGATGCGATAATTGCAGCTCGTGCTTGAGCATATTTTCGCTGAGAGATTGTCCAGAAACGCGTTTCATTTCTCAAAGCAATTGACTCGGCTTTAAGTCGCGAAGCGGCATCTCGGATAAAACTTTTTGTAAACGACGTTGCTGGCTTTCTGCAAAATGATGAATTAGCTTCTCTTTGATATAATCGTATTTATTTTTTTGGGGTAATTCGCTGATTATATTTTGTAGCTCCATCGATTTTCCATATTATGTTTCTTTACCCTTCATATTCGCTCAAGTCGGGGTCACCAATTTAGCAGATTTATTTCACAGAAATAAATGGTACTAATCTTAGTTGATTATAGGTATATTTATTGATTTAAAATCTATTATTTTTTACTTTAACAAAATTACGTGTTATCGCTTACGATGTCCTCCAGAGAAGAAGGAAAAAAACGAAGAGCAAAAAAGAATGTCAAAAAATGAAGGTCGAGAAAAAGAGTGTGCTAGCTTGAAGGGTTGCCGGAGTGGCCACATGTATACATACATAATAGTACATGTATCATATTAACTGCCAGTTTTATCAGCAATTTAAATGAAAAATGATTTTTTCGTTTCTGTAAGTTCTCATAAGTTCTCAGTTCTGGTGGTAAACGAGGACAATACGAAGTATCTCCTGTCATCAAACAAACAGTCAGCAAATTCGCGCCTTGACACCCACGTCACTGTTGACAGTTACAATTTCGAGAGAGTAGAGAATTTCGTTTACTTGGGAACCAGCATTAACACCGATAATAATGTCAGCATTGAAATCCAACGTAGAATCACTCTTGCCAACAAGTGCTACTTTGGACTGAGTAGGCAATTCAGGAGTAAAATCCTCTCTCGACGTACGAAAACCGCGCTCTATAAGTTACTCATCATGCCCGTGCTGGTATATGGCGCAGAAGCATGGACAATGACAACATCCGATGAGGCGGCTCTTGGAGTGTTTGCGAGAAAGATTTTGCGGAAGATTTACGGGCCTTTAAGCTCGGAACACTTTGACGACTGCAACTTCACGACGTAACGACAGCGACATCATTTTGTCGACAAATGTCGCCTTGAAGCCAGCTTCTTAAACATTTTGAAGACCTCAGCGACATAGCAAACAGCTGATTTTAAAGTTTGAAATTTTGGTATATTTATTTCACAAATTGTGTATTTTTATTTAGGTAAATAAGAAAAACATGAACAATCAAGAATATGTGATTAATTTTGCGACAATTTAATTTTGCAGCACTACATCTACTCATTGTCGCCGGCAAAATTAGAAATAGATTTAATTTGGCGACGTCGACAATTGCAGTCCTGCAGCCAAGATGTCGTGCTGTCGTCAAAATAATTGTGTCCGTAAGAACGTGTGTATTTAAAATTTGACAGACGCTGCTTGTCGCTTGCTGTCGTCAAAGTGTTCTGAGCTTTACGCGTTGGCGACGGCGAGCACCGCAGACGATGGAACGATGAGCTGTATGAGCTTTACAACGATATGGTTATAGTGCAGCGAATTAAAATACAGCGGCTCCGCTGGCTTGGTCATGTCGTTCGAATGGACACCGACGCTCCAGCTCTGAAAGTATTCAACTCGGAACCCGCTGGTGGTAGCAGAGGAAGAGGGAGGCCCTCACTGCGATGGAAAGATCAGGTGGAGAAGGACTTGGCTTCACTTGGCGTTACCAATTGGCGTCAGTTGGCACAGAGGAGAAACGACTGCCGTGCTTTGATGAACTCGGCCAAAATCGCTTAGGCGGTTACAGCCCCAAAAAAGAAGAAGAAGTTCTCATATTAAATTAAAATATTTATAAAAAATCAAGCACGGATATCAAAACCTCTTACAAAATGAAATTTCATTTGAAAATCATATCAGTTGCGTTTTCGTACACGCTATAACTACTCATTGTACTGGATTCTTACTGGTTGGCGTTTTCGTACGCCAAGAAACTAGCAAAAGAGAGGAAATTGAGAGAGCAAAAATTGCAGCAGAACTTGCAAGTTTTACTGGATTTTTACTGGATAAATTGTTAATAGTAACTGTTTGTCAGTAAGAATAAAATAATGTAAAAAAATATATTTTAAAAAACCAGCTTTTATTTAACATGAGCACTCAAAGCATGGTTTTTAAAAAGTTTGTTGTGCGAATAGCGAACTAGCAGGTACATACATATATTTCAAAAACTACTTTCTATAAGGGTAATTTCCAAACAAAGTGCTATTTTTTTGTTCCCCCTTTTTAAATTATATTATGGTGGAAAAAACGAAAAATCAAAAACAGCATTAGATAAACGATCCAAATAATGAACCACCAACAAAGCTGTTTTTTATTATTGTAAGCCGTTTTGTTTTATTTTGGGAACGGTATTATATAAAAATGGTAGTATATAAAAATATTTGTCCCCGCTCAGGTTATTCCATAATCAAAACGAAGAACAAAACAATGAAAAAATTCGTATTCTTTGTGAGTGGCTACCATAACTTTTATTGTTTTATTCTATTTTTGCCTGACAAATTTTATCCAGAATGTCACTTTCTAAATTTTGCCGTGATATTAACATTCGTAGTTTTGTTTGCCTAAGTGCATTGCAGTTAAAAAGTGCAAGAAGTTATT